AAATTCGAGTTCATTGTTAAATGTCTATTTTTGGGCGGTACTCTCTCTCATTTGAAGTAGGACGGAGATCTTCGCTGATGAATTAATAATTTTAATAAGCAATTAACCCAATTGCTGTCCCACCTGAGTAGATATCGAAACAAGGTTGAAACACGATGAGCAAATTGATCATTACCTAAAGATATTTATGATTTGAAAAGAAAATGTAAATAAACATAAATAATTGGATTAATTTGAAACCAATCTCGCATTTCTATTAAATGAAGTAAAATTAATTAATCAAAAAATTCAAAAAGATAGTACTAATCCTAATTTTTTTATAATAAAATAATCAATATCGATATATAAACGAGATAAAAACATAGAATTTGGAATTTATTATGTCCATTATATTGTATAATAAATGAATGACTTTCACATTTTCTTTCATTTTTATGTAAAACTTGACGTGTTGTATGTTGAAGAAACAACAAAACCAACTTATCAATAAGTTAATAAACAAACTCAGCCCAACTTATCCATAACCACACGAAAACCAGACTTAACCCAAACCACCTCAAGCTTACCCATACTCTAGCCATACTCAACACAATCCAAAAACACTAAGACAAACCCATAACTGAATTCACACTCAAAATCTGTCCTAAATTAAACCACGCAAAAAACCCAAGTCATCATATCCACAACCAATCCAGCACATTTAGACCGAAATCAGACGCAATCCAAATCACTGAAGGCAACTCTAGCTAATCTATACTGAAATCAAACTCAATACAAGCCAAATCTAGCTCAATCCAAACATCCATAATCAAACCCATAATGCTGAACCTAGCCTATTCAAGCCTAAACTACTGCTTATCCCAAACCAGGGAAAACAACCTATCCCAAAACATCCATAATCAATTCAGCACATCCACTCTCAAAGCAGAACCAACCTAAATCACTGAAATCAACCCCAAACCCTCAAACCAATCTCAACATAAACCAAGTGCAAGTCATTCTTACTCAAACCACACACGCCAAACTTAACTCACATGACCTAAAACCATGCTGAATCCAGATTATCTTCACCTCAAATCTATCCCAACCCAAACCACGCATAATAACCCATTCACAACCAATCCAACACATTCGCGCCAAAACCAGACTCAAGCTAAATCACCTCCAACTGATCTATACTTAATGCAGTCGCAAACCAAACTGGATCTTATCACAAACTCAAATTAATTTTTTATCAATATGAGGAACGCCATACATATAAACTAGTGGTGGAACGGATATTCGGCAACTATCCGGTATCCGACCTATCCGGCCATTTTTTTCGAATTTTGTAATTTTCACCGATTAAGTTTTAAAAATTCGTATAAAGTCCATTTCTTGAAGGATCTTTGTGGAAATATCGCCAATTATTAATTAAAGTATCCTCTTTTTAGAGTTGCTTCGTTAGTTAAATCAGCATCAAAAAAGTTCATTTTTTTATCTTGGATCCAAATAAGTTGACATACAGTGTGTCCCCGGAGAGATGAAACGACTCTTATAAAAGGTAAAATTTTTGGATATTAAATGTCATCTTTTGGGATTTAGCACTGCTTGATTAAAGAGTAAATTTAAACATATTTTCAATTTTTAAAAAACAAGTGAGCCTTGACAGTGAAAGAAAAACTCTTTTTGTTGCAGGTAAAGTACCTTTTCTGTTTACAGTACGTGAAAGTGTTACTAAGAAGTTTTGTTCAGAATGAAATACTATGGCCATATGCAAATTTTCGAAATGATCTTCATGAAAAACAAAATTGCTTTCCTGTCAATGTTAATCTGTCAAACTGTAATTTAGTAAACTTAAAGTGTTGTTTAAATACAATGTTAGCATTAGAAGAAAAAGTTTACGTGATTCAGTGTTGTGAAACAGGGGAAAAACCGATAAATATGGTTATTGCTTCATTTAGTGAAAAATTTACAAATACTGGATTTCAAAGTAGTACTTGCATATGGCCATAACTTTTCATTCTAAATAAAATTTCTTAGTAACATTTTAGCATACTGTAAACAGAAAAGGTACTTTATCTGACACATAAGAAGTTTTCGCTTCAGTGTCAACATTCACTTGTTTTTTAAAACTTAAAAATATGTTCAAAATTAGTCTTTAATCAAGCAAAAACCCCAAAAGATGACATTTAATATCGAAAAAATTTTACATTTTATAAGAGTCATTTCACCTATTCGGGGACACACTGTATATTATCAGCTTTCTTATTAATTTCATTTTTATTCAAATATCGCAATAATGTGGCAATGTATCCGACCGAAGGGGATGCCGAATTTCCGGTATCCGGCTTTTCGCAAAATCACTATTCGTTCCATCATTGGAACCATACTGGAAAGACTACACTCAATAATTGCTTGCATATCTATAGACTAATATTAGTAAAATGAGCAGTATCTATTGATAAATAATTAATTTGAGTGTGCTTGTGGATAGATTCGGTTTGGTTTGCGACTGAATTAAGTATGGGCGAGCTGGAGGTGGTTGAGGTTGGGTCTCGTTTTGATGTGGACGTGTTGGATTAGTTGTGTCATCCATAAATCAGCTTTGACGAATCACTACGGTGATTTGACGGCGAGATTGGTTAAGTTGGAGTTTTGAAGTTCAAACTGGGATATTTGTCGTTCAGGTTTCCGTCTAGAATAACTACTCTTCTCTGTGCGAAGACAGCGATGAGTGTCAAAGTTCGTTCATACTCTAAATATCCTAGATTCTGAATCTGATGCATGTGATAATCGATTAAAGTCTTGATACTGGTCACTATGGTGGATTTCGACTTCTCGACTGCTTAAGTGTCATTAGTACGACTTCATTGACTTTCTCTCATTGTCAGTTCATTTTTGTTACTAAATAATTTTTTCTTGAATTTCCGAATTATATAATGAAATGTAACAATAGCTTTTATTTTTAATCCAGTGAGTTTAATCTATTCAAGTAAACGTAAATTCAAGGTTTACTCAGTTGTGATGAAGATGGGAAAACTATTTTACCTATTCAGTCTACACAAATGGACTGCGGCGTAAAATGGTTCTAGCTCGAGATTCACTTTAGCGGCTGAGTCCCTTCCCGTGTTCGGAAAACCGGAAGCGACGCTGTAATTCCCGGCACCAGGAAGCTTCGACGGATTACGAGAAATTGATATATTAAATGTTCGTTCACAAGCTGTATCAATGAGAGTTCCTGCTGAGAAACAGCAAAATCGACTCCAATTCACGTTAAGTTCCAATTTGGACTTCGAGTTTCTACTAGATTTAGAAGATTGATGGAATGCCTAGACTTATTTCTGATTTACGGCGTTCAGTAACAGCAAAACTTAGTTATACGACTTTCCAATTATTGGGTGTAATGGGTCGATTGTGATGAATGGAAGTTTGCCTCTACACACATGGAGGAGTTATTGTTACCCTCTTATTTAAAGGGGGAAATTACAATGGACAAGTCGAGTTATTTTTGTAATCAATAAATTTCTGGGTCATCAATATAATTACATGTGTGTATAAAGTAATATTAAAATAAATAATATTACAATGTAAAATCGATACTCAACATGTACATCCCAATAAAGTAGTAGTATTATTATCTATAAATAATATATTGTGAGTTTTTCAATGTGTGTATTGAAAGCTACAAATTTTAAATTATTGGATCGGACATCAACATATAAACCGATAGCTTCCAATTTTATGTGAAAGCGATTAAAAGAGTTCATAAATCACGTTGCGTTTAATTACTGATTCAATAACCGACCCCTTTAACTTCAACGATCGATCCAAAATTTTTCGTGACGAAAAAAAGGTATAAAAACCATTTATAGCTTTTTGGGACGGTGATAAAATTCCGGACCCCTTTTCTGATGTAAATTGGTCCGATTCTTGGAGGATTCAATAATAGACCCGCGGAATGACGACATCCAATATCGATTCGTTGAGAATGTAGGCTAAAGAGAAGATAATAAAGGTTGTAGCCTTTCCAAAATAAATTAAAGTTAACTTAAGTCATCGGTGTAAAGTAGAATTTAATTGTAAAGTCGATTTTTTGCAAGATGGTTTTGTTAGAAGGATATTTTTGGGGATCGAATAAGGTCGAGTTCCGTTGAAAATATGTGGTTGGTGAAGCGTCATTTGACCCCTGCTTGAAAAGTAAATATCACGGGAACAATGTCGTTCAGTGGCATCCTGCTGACGCGATGGAGTAGCTCTTATATCACTCTCCAATAATGGAATTCTAAGGAAACGACTACATATTTTTCTCCGCTTTGCCCTCGAATATCAAGAAATAAAAGTTTCAAATGATTTTTATACTTACCTAAGATTAGTGGTGAAACGGATATCCGACTATTATCCGGTATCTGGATATACCAAATATTCACCTTTGGCACCATTCAAAGGAATTAATATCCATTAAGTTTTAAAAATTCGTATAAAATCCATTTCTTGGAATATAAGTATGAAAATTTCCCAAAGTGTTAATAAAAGTGTCCTCTTTCCAATGAACCAACCCGTTTTAAAAAGTAACTTTTAGTTTTTGAGAAAACAATATTAGATGTTTTGATAAAATTTTCGATGTTGCAATTTTCATCATAACCTAAGATGATAGTAATTAAAAACTATGTGGAAAAAGAAATAATAAAAAAAGTACGCAGACTTGACTCAAACCTGTGATTATTACCAGAAGATAACAAAACCCATTATCGATTATCATATTATTGCCGCGAGCTTTGCGTGACTATAGGCCACTTGTCTCTTTGGATTGTTAGTCATTCCAAAGCGTCGTAAGCTCCGAGGGTGGTGGTAGACTAGACTATCAAGGGAGCAATCGCGAAATATGACCGCTTTTACCGTTCTCCACGTGCCGCTTTTCTAAGAATCTAGACGGATCATTTAATAGCTCTTAAAGCCGAACAAACATTAACGGTTAAATTTCAACGAAATAACTAACTCTGTATTAATCATTATTTCAGGAACGAAAGTTCAAACGATAATTTCAAGAATTTGGAATGCCTCATTTGGGTGTGTCTTTCCCCGAATCGTTTACAATGGCATTGGATGAACAACAAAAATTATTAAGCTCGGGTAAGTAAAATTATTATTAATCTAACCTGTTGCTGTAATATATACAACTCCACAACATCGTATTTACCAATTCTTTGTTCCCATTCATTTTCGCTCCTCATTCACTTTGGCTAAAATAAAACTCAATCGATTACCTGTCTGGTGAGTTTAGCCGTAAATTTTTAAAGCTACCCGGGATTACGTCCCATCTTTGTATATCCATGGAAAACTGGGGAAAACCCTACAAACCGGATTATCGTGTAAAAAGAACATTAAGCGCACGGGTTATTTTATGGGGTCGCGTTCTAACCGTGTTTTCGGGGTTTTTCTTTCGCTTTATCTATCGTTATTATTGTTCTACGCGACGTTAAATGTTTATCCCACACTCCTTTTGTTACCTTTTAGGAAGAACACAACTGCAAGTGAGCATTGTTGAAGTTGGCAGTACCCCACAACCGAGTCCTTTATCTGATAGAAGCTCGCAACAATTACTTGATACACCTTTGGATGTTGGTAAGCTAGGTAATTTAATCATTTTTTATTTAATATTATATTTGTTGAATATTTTAGATTAGATTTTGTGTTCGTTTTTATGCTTTAAACCAAAAAAAAATCTTTTAGAAGTAATAAAATATTTTTGTTTGTAACCTAATACTCGAGTCAGGTTATGTAAACCAAACATTACCGGCCAGGATGTTACTTAATGCGCCATTTGTGCATGGATATTCTTTCCATAAAATGTATAATACCGCTTTCTCTGTTCCATCAATCAACACATTTCTAAAGCAATATGAGCGGTTGTTTACATCTCCATTAATTATATTGCATGTTTTGTCTAAAGTGTTGAAAAGAATCATTTTTCAGCAGATTATTGAGCACTTAGAGGAAAATATTTTAATCAAACATTTCACGATCATCCATTTAAATGTGTTTTATACAGCATAAGATATAGAACTGACATAGTTCAAGATTCTACACATTTTGTGGAATTAATTTTCAATGTTATGGATATACCAGTCACAATATTTACCGAAAATGTGGAGTTTTTCAAAATATCCTGGACTTTGTTGGAGGTGCTTCTAAAATTCTATGGAAAATTTGTATTCATCTTCTCAAGCAATGGAAGCCTAAGCAAAAAAATTAAATTCTTTGTAAGAGATAAGGATACACATAATGAGATGAGGAAGGAAAAGTCTATGTAATACATTGCAGCAATACAATATGTTACAAAATCTTCAAAAGATTCGAGTATTTCAAAACAGCAATTATTAAATGCCGCAAATGACCTCGAAATTGGCTTCATTATGTGTAATCCATTTTTGCACTAATTCCAATTCCAGAATAGACAGCAGAATTAACCTCTTCCAGTTCATCACGAAGCATCTTGAGTTTGCAATTACATTCAGGAATATTCTAATATGAATTAGCCATTTTTCTGCCATCTTAAACCACGTTAGAGGGTAGCCCGTACGTAACCTTGGCTTAATCTTGGCAGCAATTGACCTCCGCTTCATTAGATTCATTATTATGTGTAGTCCAATTTGGTCCAATTGTAGTGCCTCGATTTAATCGTTATATAATCTCTGTTTCAACTAGCTGAAAGAATCACTAAGTAAGTTTGAAATCGTCGTTACTCCGATGACCTTAAAAACTTTATGCACAAAGTTTTGCTCCCAATTTCAAGAATTTTATGACACATTATGGATTTGCACCAATTGCGAATAATTGTTATTTCCTTAGTGTTATTGATCAGTTCAATTCCAGAATGGACAGTAGATTTAACCTTCTCAAGTTCATCACGAAGCATTTTGAGGTTGCAGTTAGATTCAGTGATATTCTAGTATGAATTACTAGAATAATTGTTATCACAAACCACGTTTGAGTGTAGCCCGCACGTGATCTTGGCAGCAATTGACCTCCGCTTCATTAGATTCATCATTATGTATAGTCCAATTTTGCACCAATTGCGAATAATTCTCAGAATGAGACAGCAGATTTAAACTTTTCCAATTTATCACGAAACATCTTGAGGTTGTATTTAGATTCAGGGATATACTAATATGAATTATCCATTTTTTCTGCCATCTTAAACCACGTTTGAGTGTACGTAACCTTGGCTTAATCTTGGCAGCAATTGACTTCCGCTTCATTAGATTCATTATTATGTGTAGTCCAATTTGGTACCAAATGTAGTGCCTCGATTTAATCGTTATATAATCTCTGTTTGAACTAGCTGAAAGAATCACTAAGTAAGTTTGAAATCGTCGTTACTCCGATGACCTTAAAAACTTTATGCACAAAGTTTTGCTTCCAATTTCAGGAATTTTATAATACATTATGGATTTGCACCAATTGTTAATAATTATTATTTCCTTAGTATTGATATGTTCAATTTTAGAATGAACAGCAGATTTAACCTTCGCAAGTTCATCACGAAGTATCTTGAGGTTACATTTAGATTCAGGAATATTCTGATATGAATTAGCCATTTTTTCTGCCATCATAAACCACGTTGAGGGTAGCCCGCACGTGATTTTGTCGAGTCATTTTCAAACTTATCAAGTATTATGATGATTTATGATTGTTAGGACGATTTATTCATCTGCTTACATCATATGTTTTCATCTAAATTCTAAACGGGTAGCAAATTCACTTATGTACATGTTCGCCGAGTTGGAAACTTTCCGGCATGTACTATATATTCTCTGAAATGTAATATATTGTATTATTTTGTTTATGTTTTGTTCGATTAATAATTATTTATGCAAACCAATTTTTACAAATTAAGTATACAAACGATAAATCACACAAAAATATTTTATTTGATTCAAACACAACGAACAAAAATACGTTTTTAAATTAAAAAACACGAATCTCAGGGAATAGAAAAATAAATTGCAGGTTCATGGAGACATCTATTAACTAAATTTTTAAATTTTCGAACTAAACATAAATACTAACCTCTGTGCAAGAAAGAGGTAACTCGTTTAGAAGAGTGTTGTCGTAGACAAAGCTTGTACGCGTTTATTTTATGAGTGTCTTTTAAGTTTGATTTTTAATCGCGATGGTTATAAAAATTAAAGAATTCTGAAGGAACGGAATGGTTTAAACGAGGAAGGGGTATACGATTAAGTTCAAGAAAGATACGTTTGATTACCGATAAAAGGAAATATGTTCTTGGAAATCTTTCCGGAGGTCAGTTAAAAATGGTTGGCTGACCTTGATCTTGAGGGATGAGTATTCTTCGGTATTAGTAGTTTTGGAATCTCGGGAAATTTAATTCTCTGGTCCTTCGGGAACAGGATGGAAAATTGGACTCGAACTCAGGTATGGTTTAGATTTCTTCGAAGATAATTCAGAAACACTTGTTAACTTTTGCTTGATAAAGAAAATTGAGTTGTCAAAAAAAAAATTCTAAGTTCACACTTAGGTTAGAAGATTTGAGGTTAATTTTACGTAGATTCGACAACGCTTGGCTCTAGCCAAAATTGAACTCTCTTCGGTGTCCATTTGCGCGGCCTTATATACCCTTTTTGGACAAAGGCATCTTGGATATCTAAATTTGACCTCTCACTTTGAATCTGGGTTCTCTGATTGGTTGATTCAGTGGCGGGAATTATAAATTACACAGGTTGGCCAAAATAATTGATTTTTTTAAAGAAAATAACTATCAATTTTGAAAATATTCGAAATTATTAATAAACTTTAAATTTGATTAAGATTTTGTAATTTTGTTGCTAATTTTTCGTTTTTTTAAATAAACGCGCTTTCGGGTGTCAATTTCCTTCGAGAAAGTCGTAATTTGATGTTGAAGTTTGGAAATGAAGAATTAGAATTTAGATTTAAAAAATGATACTGAAATTGATGAAATTGCGGCCTATGGGTTAAATCGATACAATCTATCGATCTCGCATGTTTTTAGAATCTAAAATCGTCTGAAAAGTCGCCAAAATCAATATCTGTCAAAACTGTAAGTGACAAGGTCAAATTTGAAGGTCATGGACTTCAATGATTTACCTTTTTCTTGCACATCGCCCTAATTTTTCTTAAATCTAAACGAAAATCATAACAAAACGTAACTACTTAGCCTAATTTATAATACTAAAGATCTTAAATTTAATTAGTCTTTTTTGTTTCTTTGGAAAAACAGATTTTATTACAATATCTTTCTTTTGAATATCTTTTTTTTGTTGACTTGTACTATGCCAGTGTGGCGATTTTGTATCAATAAATATTATTATTATTAATCTATTTGTAGAGTCTCTGAAGATGGCCAAGAGCTGAAACTGGTTAGACTTAAATTCTATACAGGGTGAGTCAGAAAGATGGGAAATGCGAATACTAGAGACACTAGACACCAAAATATGACGATTTAACCTAACATTTCTTATACAAATGTCGGATGTTTTTAATACACAGGTGTTTTAAATTTTTATTTCGAAATTTCTTGATAATTTTGAAGGTTTTTGTACTATTAACATAAAATTTGGTAGTTAGATGTTTTCGAGCATGAGAAATACGAATTTGATATTTGTTTTGTGATTACTCGTAGAGGGCGCTAGACAACACTGTACAGGGTGTCCAAATTTCGATGGGTTTGCAGGGTATCTCAGTTATTATGAATGATAGAAAGTTGCGGCTTTCGCGAACCTCAGCTACTTTTTTGTGAAACTTACAATGGCGCAAACCAACTTTTCATAGCCCTCCTCGTTTTTGATATACAGGGAGTGTTCCAAAATTTACGATTTTCAGACACCGCCTGCATGTCGGCTATCTGGAAACGTAAAAACAGGTTCTAATAGATTTTTTCACGTAGAATCCAATGGTGCACGTAGAATTTTTCTAGTCATCACGGTTTTTGAGTTATAAAGAGTTAAGTATTTTAGAAGTTGAGTATTCAGTATTTGAGTTGTGTTTATAACTCAAAAACTGTGATAACTAGAAAAATTCTACGTGCACCATTTGATTCCACGTGGAAAAATCTATTAGAATCCGTTTTTACTTTTTTACTAAGTTTCCGGATAGCCGAGATACAGGAGGTGTCTGAAAATCGTAAATTTCAAACACTCCCTGTATATCAAAAGCGAAGAGGGCTATGAAAATTTGGTTTGCGCCATTGTAAGTTTCACAAAAATGTGGATCAGGTTCGCGAAAGCCGCGACTTTCTATCTTTCATAATAACTGAGATACCCTGCAAACCCATCCACATTTGGACACCCTGTACGTTTGACATATCAAGTCATGACTATTTTGTCAGTTGAGGTATGGTGAATTAGAACCAGAAATCTGAAGGAGTTTTCAATTCTGCACAAAAAAGGTCTTGCTTACATTGTCTAAGTCTACTGGTTTCCAAGTTATCTGCTTTTAATTGTTTCAAAGTAATTTTAAGGTTAACATTTAAAATCAATAACACACTGTAACTATAGCAATTAGTAACGATAATAATCGATAACAATAACAATTAATAACAATAGAATATTGTGACCATTTTCAAAAATCCAGTGGACTTAAATCTGGATTTCTCACTATTAAAATACTCATTATGTCGTGGCATTTTCAAATTGGTAATAACTTTATTGTTGGTAAAAATGATTATTGCACACGGAAATTAGATCAATGTTGATAATTAACAGGCAATTGTCGAAACATAAAAAGGTTTTTAGAGAGATGAAAACGAAAATGCCGCTTTTCTCAACATCATTTTTCGCTTAGTGAAGTGATACAAAACTCGGTCCATATATTCATTGTCTTAACTAGCTGAAAAAATCGTCGTTAATCCGATGACCTTGAGAACTTTACGTTCATAGTTTTGCTCTCAATTTCAGGAATTTTATAATACATTCTCGATTTGCTCCAATTATAAATAATTATTATTTCGTTTCTTGAACTACTCAAGTTCATCACGAAGCATCTTGAGGTTGCAGTTAGATTCAGGAATATTCTAATATGAATTAGCCATTTTTTCTGCCATCATAAACCACGTTTGAGGGTAGCCCAATTCTTTGTCGAGTCATTTTCAAACTTATAAAGTATTGTGATGATTTATGAGTGTTAGGACGATTTATTCATCTGCTTAAATCATATGTTTTCATCTAAATATTAAACGGGTAGCAAATTCACTTATGTACATGTTCGCTGAGTTGGAAACTTTCATCTACTAAATATTCTCTGAAATGTAATATATTTTTAAACCTTGATGCTAACCCTACATAATAAAATATACTCTGCCTTCGCTACACACACATCAGGCAATCACCTGTTGAAATTTCGAGAGTTTCGGCTAAAAAGTTTCAAAGTAAACCGAGTTACCGCATCTCCACTTTAATAAAACAGTTGCCGAATTCCGAATTGATTCAGAGGTCTTTATTTTGGAAACCGATAATGGGATGATGAGATTATCTCCTTTAATTTATATTTTATTGTATTGATTAGTTGTGACAAATTTTTTTTTATAGTTGCTGAAGCAACATTTTGCCAAGGTGTAAATACAGCTTCTTTATTATTGGAAAGTCCTCCAAAATGGGGAGAAGCAGCACGATACGCATCAAAGCAACATCGGAAAATAGCTGGTCGAGCGACGTTTCAAGGACAAGTCTACAATTTTCTAGAAAGACCGGACAATTGGAAATGTTTCGTTTATCACATAGTCGTGTAAGTACATCAATTGATTATTTATTTCGAAACAACTCTCTTTTTCCCATAATCAGTCGATATCACGAAATGAAAGGTGTGTTTAAATTTAATTGATTATAACAAAGATGAGTAAATGTTTTTGTAATAATGAAGTTCCTCGAATGTTTTGAATCTTTTATGACGCTTTGTATTACGTCAGTACCTCTGTAAATATATAATCCCATCCACAGCTGTTGGAATTGGGATGTACTAAAAGTTCAAAGCTATCCTATTGTAAATTTTTAATTAGGTTTATACTCATGGGTGTTGAGATATTCACCTCAATTTACTTCATTATGAACCAAAAAGAAGCTGTAAATATTTTATTACAAAGGATTAAAACTTACATTATCTAAATATACTTAACTATAAAGAGCTATTTCTATCAAAATATCTTCTAAACAAATTTTTATGTAAACTTATACATTTTAAGCGATAAAACGTTACATAAAAGTAGGTTTAACGTAAATTGTTTACGTTTTAAATGGGAAATTTCCTATTTTCAATAGGTAGTTTGCGCACACGTCATTAGATGGCACCACTCGACTGTAACAATTGAGCGCTGTTTAAGTGGCGCCCTCCAGTCGGCAATCGATGAACTATATCTTCAAATTTATAGATTTCTTGATGATTTTGATAAAAAAATTGAATTAATTATTTTTTTTCGCGCTTAAATATGAATGTCTTATTAATTTATTGATTTATTATTCAAATAAGTCAATTTAATCCATAATTTCGTGAAATAAATTGGGGTCACGCAAATTCGAAGTTGGCGTGCGATCCAATTTTCGATTTTCTGTCGTTTAGGTGAATGATGATAATGTTCTTCTGTTGCTTCCCATTTTTTTAATAAATTTTTAGTTTTTAAATGAATTAATTCTAAACTTGTGTTCTAATCCCACGTGACAGATAGTGAAGCTTGTGGTCCAAAACAGAATTTCATTTCCTGGAATTAATGCATTACAAATGACATATACACAAAGTGGTGTAATGTATAATTTCAACCCAATAATGACGCTGTTTCTAAAAAATTAACTGCGCAATTTGTGTAATTAAAATTATAACATTCTATCTATTCGAGAATCAAATCATCGAAATCGTAATTCAACCTAACAAATTTTGAAATTGTTAAGTTATAATGTTTATTTTATGAATACAAATACTGAAATATCAGTAAATGTCGGGGAAATATTCATTAAATAATAATTTAATCATTATTTACCAAAATTTCCGTCGAGAGCACAAAGCAAATATTTCATTATCAAACGAATATTTTGAATTCCACTGGGAGCGTCACAATTTTCGTATTTTAATATTTCACGGTGGAAAAAGTTGAACGCAACTTTATAACACACATAAAATGAAAACGTTCTTTATACTTTGTATTTGCCATTAAGTTAAAAGAATTGAAATCTATACTGATATCTTATAAAGTGACTTATAGAACCTCGAAATGTAAGTAAATATCGTTACAAAGCAATTTTTATAATTCTTTAAGCTTTGATATATGAAGAGAGAATTAACCTAAATGCTTTGGTGTTTGTACTGATGGAACTCATCCCTCGTCTGGCTGCTATGGAGGATTAGAGGCGCTTATTCGAAGCAAATCACCAAATGCATTGTGAACCCATTGCATTATTTATGAGGAAGCGTTTTCGTCAAAGCATTTGAATCCTGCACTAAATCAAATGTTATATTTTGTGGTAAATTTTATAAAATCTCATCCAACCTACTAAAACCTACTAATTGGTCAATAAAGACATGTCAAACAATTATATGGAAAGTTACGACAACTTTGAGCTAAACTTGAGCTATTTAATTGAGCACATTATCTCAAAATCGAACAATCACCTAAGAATTGATTGAGAAAGTTTCAAAATAACGAAATAATACTAAAAACAGAAGAGCAAATTGAATCCAAGAAATGAAGAGAAATCTAAACGGCAACCTTAAAGCAATCCTACAACTGATATCAGAAAAGAGAAAAGCTAGGAAAAACTAGCCATGACCTCACAATACAAAACAAAAGTGTTAATAGTGTTAATTAGTGTTACCTACTACAGGAAGAAGAATAGACGCTACTGACAGAACACTTGATACTGCTTATGGAAAACTAGATAGACTAGACTAGATAGATTAGGCAGAGCCTGCACTGTAGGTACGTTTATTTTTTACTCTTAATTTCTCTAGTTGCAGAAGTTTGCACCAAAAAGTTAGGGCACAAGTCAACAAAAACTTTAGAATATCTGGGTATTTAAGAGACATCGTATGACTTAATGTATCGGAAACCAGGGCAGATACATCAAAAACCAAGAGTCACCAAAATGAGATTGTTAAGGGCGATTGAAGGAGTAACTCTGAGAGATTAGATAAGAAGTTCAGCAATACGGGAAGAAGTGAGGATGCCTGAGTAGTGCGATTTGTGTGGGTGAAGAATGATGACCACGTGGATAGGATGGACGACGAGTGTTGGATAAAATGTGCCAAAAATAGAACGATCGTCGAAATGGACATAGTCTTAAATAAAGAGGAAATAAAAGAAGAAAACTAGATATTGTGGATTACAACAAGCAGAAGATTAGATATTACCAATAGAAGACTTGAGGATGCTAATGGAATATGAGACACTGTCAATAGAAGACTAAATACTGCAAGCGGACGACTAGATGGTGTTTGCAGAAGACTAAAAACTTCAAAAATGTCCTACATAGACTTATTAACTTACTAGTGACTCCACCGCAAATATTCGCTATGGAGATTTATCAAAAATGTAAAAAAACTTTGGTCTTGCTAATGCAACGAAATAAATACGAAACTCATCATTTTCAGTCAAAATAAATGTTAAATCAATATCTAGTATCATCAACAAGTTAAAGTTTTTGTACTATCTGAGAACTGAAACGTAATTCTAGCCGATATCGATATTTATTCTATATCACTAGAAACTGGCTATAGATAAATATGAAATAATTATGGATTATGATTTCTTGATGCATTAGGAATATTTTTTATTCATAACGTCTTTCTCCATCAGTTTTACTTAGGTTGTACTTGACTTTATTACGAAAAATCGCCCAATTTTGATATTTTGTGATTTATGCTATATCACTAAAAACTGATGATAGATAACTATGAAATAAGTATGGATTATGACTTCTTGATACATTAGGAATATTTTTTATTCATAGTGTCATTCTCCATCAGTTTTAGTTCTTAGGTTGTAGTTGATTTTATTAAGAAAAATCGTCCAATTTTGACATTTTGTGATTTATACTATATCACTAGGAACCGGTGATAGATAAATATGAAATAATTATGGATTATGATTTTTTGATGGATTAGGCATATTTTTTAATCACAACATCTTTCTCCATCAATTTTAGTACTTAGGTTGTAGTTGATTTTATTAAGAAAAATCGTCCAATGTTGAAATATTTTGTGATTTATGCTATATCACTAGAAACTGGTGATAGATAAATATGAAATAATTATGGATTATGATTTCTTGATGCATTAGGAATATTGTTTATTCAAAACGTTTTTCTCCATCAGTTTTAATACTTAGATTGTAGTTGATTTTATTAAGAAAAATCGTCCAATTTTGACATTTTGTGATTTGTACTATATCACTAGGAACCGGTGACAGATAAATATGATATAATTATGGATCATGATTTTTTGATGGATTAGGAATATTTTTTATTCACAACGTTTTTCTCCATCAGTTTTAATACTGACATTATAGCTGATTTTATTAAGAAAAATCGTCCAATTTTAATATTTTGTGATTTATGCTATATTGTTAGAAACTGGTGATAGATAAATATGAAATAAGTATGGATTATGACTTCTTGATACATTAGGAATATTTTTTATTCGTTACGTTTTTCTCCATCAGTTTTAATACTTACATTATAGCTGATTTTATTAAGAAAGTTAAGTATAAAAGTATAAGTTATGATTTTTTGATGCATTATGAATGATGCATTTATGTTTAACGCAACTTTATAACACACGTATAAAAATGAAAACGTTGTTTATATCTTGTATTTGTATTTGCCACTAAGTTAAAAGAATTGAAATCTATGCTGATTGATATCTTATAAAGTGGCTTATAGAATCTCGAAATGTAAGAAGACCTTTTATTTTGTAAATATATCATTACAAACTAATTAGACTATGTGACTATATGGTGTTTTCAGAAGACTAAATAGCGCTAGCAGTATAATAACCTTACAACTCAACTTCAAAAATATCTTACATACACTTAACTTACTAATGACTCCACCACAAATATTCGCTATGGAGATTTATGAAAAATGTAAAAAGACTTTGGTCTTGCTATTACAAGGGAATAAATACGAAACTCATCATCTTCAGTCAAAATAAATGTATACCGTATGTTTAATCAATATTTGGTTTATTTAGAACAGCCATAAAATCATCAAAAGCAACAGGAGTATTATCAACAAGTTAAAGTTTTTGTACTATTGCATGTCTGAGAACTGAAATGTGATTTTAGCCGATATCGATATTTATTTACCAACAAAATAAGCCAGAAACGTTGTACATAAAACAATGCGTTAAGAAAGTAGAATTTTTTTATAAGGGTGGAATTAAGTGCGAGAAAAACGCGTTTTAATAAATACTTAAATTCTAATTTGAGTCGACCTTCATCTTTCTCCACTTCCCGACGGAATGAAATTTACATATTTTATACCTAAGTAACGCACTTTTATGTGGTATTTAATGTAGTTAATCTCCCGAATTTTTTTCTCAACAACTTTATCCACCACAACGAATCAAAACACAAAAAAATAACTACACTGGTACATATTTGATTTTCGTTTGTCATTTTGGAATGATTGATGAAAGAGCATCGAACATGTTGGTCGTAAATGCATCGCCTATATGCATACCGGCATAATCCGAAATCGTGTTGTGTCGAATTCCGATTAATTGAATGAAATTTCCCCCTA